AGTTTTGATTACCATTCCATTCCACTTCTCTCACTATATGCTGAAGAAGAAGAAACCTAATGTGAGAGAATTACGAGAGAATCACAATGGAATTCTCTACTAACCGAGTTCTACATTCCACTCAATCGCTTCAATTTGTAATTTTATTCATTAGTTTCGATTTCTGTTTCATTCCGGACGTAAGTTTGTTTTTCGAAAGTGAAACACAATGGATTTGCTAGAAAAATCTGTAGTAACCCAGTTCGCTCTGCTATTCATAGTATTCATAGTATTCATATGCAGACTCATTTGAGCAGTTCACTCATTGATTTCGATTTCTGTTCTGGTTCGTATTCACGCGCTTCGCAAAAGTAAAAACTAGGCTCTGGCACTATTAGATCTCAGTCTGGATTTACATAATCTGGGTGAAAGTTTTTACTGCCCGCCTGCCAAAGCAAATTATAAGTTAGAAGCTATGCCCAGTAGCTGCAGTTGGGGGCCAGATTTGATGGCTGCGATTTGCAGTTGCCTTTCACAAGCAGCTGAAACAGTTCCTCGAAAATACGAAATCTGTCAGTGGGGCGTTGCCTCAGTGTCAAAGAGCTGTGGCCCAGCAGCAGCCAAAAGTATCTGTCAGATACAAGATACAAGTGCTCAATAGCTAATTTATTGCCCTGAATTGATGTCGCGCTTTAGAATTTATTGCTCTGCTAGCTTCTCTCCCTCTTCTCTCCCTCTTCTTTCAGCTTCTTTTCTCTATTGACTCAGAAAGAATCACATTGTCTGTGCATTGTCTTCGGCTTGAATTGGTTTATGGCCTGGCTAACAAAGCTGCACTTAACTGGGTTGATTTCTAGAGTAGCTCCAAAAAACATAAATAAACGGACCTCAATGCTGGACAATGAAGTTGTGGGAGCTGCTTCGTCAACAGAAGACAATCTAAGCTTGCCGACTTTATAGAAGCCTTCTTCTTTTTCACAGCATCGCATCACAGTCGACCGATTCAGAAGAATTTTTCACTTGCTAACGAAGCCAACATCTGAATAGGATAAGCTGAACTATGAACTATGAATGACTGATCTTATTCTTAAGATCTTTCTTAATACTTTCTTCATAATATCATTCGAATGCTGTTTCCCTAACTTACTTTTTCGAATCAGAATATTTCATTTAGAAATATATAGATTTTTTATGCATATGTTGTTATGTATAGTTCATACAAACGATTTTCAACTTCTACTACTGGCTTGGAGACATAATTGTACGAGTATTTAAGTGGACTGAAACCAGAATATAATTGTTTAATTTAAAGGGCATTAAACGCTCGAAGCTCTAGCTCACTTTCCCATTAGAGCTTTCCACAATTTAATGTTGACCTTTGTTCGGCTGCGGCTCCAATAAAAACTCTCCAAAGCCATAAAAGTAATATCACACTCTCCATTTCGCTGGCCAATAATTAAGTTAGGAACTCATTCTCAACACTTATTTTGCTGCTATTCTCAGAGACAGTTACGACAGCTCCGAATTTGGGTTGCAGAAATTGCAAGTAGAGTTTTGTGAGTTGTTTTCGTGAAATAATAATGCAAACTCAATTTGTGACTTTCGCCGTTGTGCAGCGGTCAAAGTTAATTGCTTTATTAATTTGTCTAGCATTTCTTTCGCTCAGTGTAGCTTTTGACAAAAATTATGTTGTTGGGGCGTAATTGTTGGCCCCGTTACGTTCAAGCCGCCCCAACTGCCAGTCGAATTGAGTTTGAGTTCTTGAACACACTCGACGCGAGTCGTGTAAGACAATTGCTCCCACAGCCTCGTGGCATGCAGCTTTCTTTGATTTTGGTTTTGATATTGGCTTTGGATGCCTGTTTCATACCCTGCACGCATGGTTTCAGAAAGGTGGATTAGTTCTGTGTAAATGTAAATCTAAGAAGACTTAGTTTCAGGGAGTATAAATGTTCTTTACCTTGAAGACTAGCCGATATAAATATGCCTCTGCATATTGTCTATCTCTGTGTGCTTCCTTAGACCCGTCCGATAATCTATCGATTTCTTCACTCATCTGCCATAGATCAGCCTATTCCTCTATCCATCTGTTGTTGTTGAAAACATTATCCCACTAGTAAAATCCCGTCTGCTTAGAGTATCTTCGTGTCGATCACAGCCCTCGGCAGTATGCTTTCTTGTGATTTTTTTCATAGCCTGTAATAACTGTAATTTATTTACGAGCTTTACACACGTTCTGAATTCGCCTTTTGCATTGTGTTTGCAGCAATTCTCCTCTAATATCTAAATGTACAACTAAACTGTAATTAAACTGAAGTAGTTTTTCCGTTTTCCGTTTTCCATTTTCAGTTTTTCCAGTAGCCTCTCAGCAGCTGTCAGCTGCAATTTGCCTTGGCAAAGAAAGTGCCAAATTAAGTGTTTAACAAGCCCTAGGCCAACAGCTGAGCTCAGCTCGACCTGAAGAGTCTATCAAAGAGAGAGAGAGGGAGAGAGAGAGTGTGTGTGTGTGTGTGATAGACAGAGATTACTCTTTAGAGCTGCCACTCTTAACTCTTTGACTTGGTCTTTTTGCAGTTTTCGGTTTTAGTTTTCATGGCCAAGTGAATTCAATTAACGCAAACAGTCAAAATAAAAGTCAACTGCTGTGATTTATTGTGTGAAACTGAAACTTCTTCCTCTGATTAAATTATTTATTTAGTTTTATTTTTTTTTATTTGCATTTGTTTTGTTTTTGCTCGACTAGCTGCTGCTGCTGTTGTTGTTGGCGTGAAAGTTTCTGCTCAGTGCGCCAATTCAGAGGCTTTGACATTCAGATAATAGCTTGATTAAAACTTGTCATGAGAACGAGCCGGCGAGTTTTTACCATGCCATGCCAAGCCATGAGAGCTCCAATTAAGCGCACTTCTCGATCAATGCGCAGTGTCTGCCACTTTGCGATGGGGTATGCCCGGCTAGTAGGGTTAGTTTGTTCAAGTCCTTCTGCATCTGTTCAGACTGTGATCTTCGAAAGAGATATATGTTGGCCTTAATCACCCTCCCAGCCGTTTTGTTGTCTATGTAACATCTGTAATACATTAATATGTAGGTTAAATTTATTAATTCATATTTATTGTCTCTATACGATTTCTACTCCGTTTCTTATTTCTAGACTTAGTAACTACGTATTTTGACTAAATTTTTATTTACTAACAATTTTAGTTCACTTAAATTTACCCTCGGTAACATTATATAGTTGTTTTTGGAATGTGGTAGCTTTACTTATATCTCATTTCTTTTTTTTTTTAAGTTTCTACAGTCATTGAGCTCTCTAACATGGACTTCAACTATTAGGCGAGTTTTCAATTACCTAATGAAACCACTTTCTACCTTTTATGCGAAGAGAGTGACAATTAGTTTTTCAGATGCCCATAGTTCTGCAGTCAGTATTTGCCATATGTTCTGCAATGCCTGGACATGATTTATAGTGAGTTGACAACCCTGTCACAGCCTAAAGCTAGCTAGCATTAGTCTATGCCTTGAATTGTCCTATGCCAGAGTGAATTTCGCTTATATCTGCAGCTATCTGTAGTCTGCATTTGGAGGGTTAGGGTATCTGTGAGTCGTGTTGCCACACAGCAGACAGCCGAATGCAATGTTGCCTGTGTCATGTTCTGCATTTGCATGCAAGTTTGTCGAGCATCGCGCTGTTCTGCGCTGCTAATCACGTTCTTAATGAAAGTGGATGCTGTGTGGATGCAGTGTTGCCTGTCGACCACTGTTCGTGTTTTCGTTCTGGCCAACTGCAGAACACGAAGAAGAAGAAGAAGAAGAAGCAGTAGACGACTATTTGGCTCTTTCACTGGCAATGACCGCCATTTGCTGTGGTTCTATTTGATTTTCACGTTTGTTTGTTTGTTTGTTTGTTTGGACAATTCGCATGCAACACTTTGCCCGACTCTGAGTGGTTCTGGATGCTGAGCTGTGCTGAATCCGATTCTGAATTCTATATTCTGGCTACCAGTTCTGCCTCGCCGTCTCTGATTTTCTCTTTTTGCTATTCTTTGATTGATAAATATATTATTTATAGCTGCGTTTCGTGTCTGCTCAGCCTCACAGCTGCGATTTTAATTAATATGCTGCTTCCTCCTAGAGAGCTACGTTGGCCCAATTCTGTCCGTCTCCCAATTTGTTTATACATTTTATGTGTGTGTGTGTGTGTGTGTGTGAGTGCGCGTATCTGTGTGCGGGGGAAACACTTAGCGAATGTAAACAAACTCATAAAGCTGTGAAAATTATTGCAATTGTATTAAGTGCTTCGGAAAAGTAGAAAATACGCGTATGGGAAGTACATAAAGGGAATTGTTTATTTAAAGTAGGTGAGATGTTAGTAGAGATAATAGTAGAGCTAGGGGAAAGGTAAGGGCAGAGATCATGGAACTGATTTTCTTTGAATGAATTTCGCATTTACATATAACTAGAATGCTTATAGTAGATAATGTATAATTAGATGTGCAAAACATATATATACATAAAAGAAATTTATAAGAATGTTTATTTACATTCCTATTGAATATACAAATTGTCTATTTTAGCAAAAACAGACTATTCCAAAATTTCTCATCTAATGAAAAAAAGAAGTCTACGTCTAGTATTACAAAATTTTATTGAAGGTAAAAGTCTTAATCCGAGGGCAATGAACTCGAATGAGCTGTTTAGTATTTATTACACTTTTTTGCTCTGCTCGATTATTTTGTAAGAAATGATGAAAAAACGTGAAACTTAGCATAAGAGAAACCCGCGCAATGGCTGAAAAATTCCTAGATAAAGCACGAAATGCCAAAAATTCAGATACTTATCTAACAGTTGAGACAGCTGAAAGCGTTAGCTAAATTAAATTTATGCTGCCCAGTCATTATGCCATTATGATCTATATGAAGTACTTGCTTATAAGGCAGTCACTCACCTGAACTCTAATCTCCCTCCCTCTCTCTCACTCTATCTCTATCGCCTAGTCTAACTCTTTCTTTTTCTTTGTCTTTCAGCTCACAAATTTCTTTTGTAAGTGCTTCATTAAAAGTGTGGCAGAACGACAAACGACCACGAAGCGCTTCGAAGGCGACGGAGCAGGAGAAAGAGTTGGAGGAGGAGGCGGAGTGCAAGGGGAGGCACGACGACAACAACCTGTATCACCTGCTAAGTGCCGCTCGCGACAATTGTGCGGGTAATTGCGAGTCTTTGAAATTTTTGGTCTCTTTTGATGAGCTTATGCCCTGCTCTGGCTGCGGCATCTTCGATTCGCCCGTCATTGGAAAGTTGCGGCCGCTGCGTGACACACATTTCACGCATTAGACACGAGCCTACCGCCAGCTGGCCGTTGGAGCTGGACTCTGGCGTCGGGAAGACTAAGCCTAGACTGGCTTTTTCTTGGAGCCCGCACTCCCAAGCAATACAGCTGAGGCCCCGCTCCGTCCCCCTCTTGCATTATTCATGCGTGCAACGGCCCGAGGAGGAGCGGCCGCCGCAGTCGGCGCAAAGATGACTCTGCGCTTAGTCAGCGTATTATCGCTGGCATTCATTTCTGTATTGCCCGCACAGTTGGATGCATTTATCACGCAGAATACAGGTGAGTTACGAGACACGAAGTACACAACAGCAAGCAGCATATCACATAATTTAGTGGAAGTCAGAAGGCATAGAGGGGAGCAGAGGCAGCTCTATTTACTTCCTAGCTACTTACTAACTTACATTTTAGATAGTAGTCCTATGGAGAGCGAGTGCTAAGCCCGAGATATTGAAGAAATCTAAATATATCAAATACTCATCGAACTGTTGGAAGTTGTAGCTCAGCTCAGTGAGCGCTGCTTCGATATAAAAGGCAAAGTTCGTTGGGAATTCAGAACAATTCATAACTCCGCACAGTTCACATCGTCGTTCTACAGCTTGAAATAGAAACCGCTGAAGCTCGAAAAAAATATATATACTCGTATACATACAAATATATGTATATCTATACTTTAAAGGGCTTTAAAAGTTAAGAGAGAAAAAGTCCCAAAATGTGGGCACAGAACTACAATGCGCAACTGGGACATCAGGAGCCGTTGCCCTACCGAACCACCGTCTACTTGCCCATACCCGACCAGAGTGCAGTGCCGCACGCGATGACCACCAGCGTGCTGAGCCTGCCCACCATGGTGCCAGCCCAGGCCTTCGTTGTGGTCACCAGTCCACACGGCAATCACATACATCCCTATGGGCAGCAGGAGCAGCTGCAGCAGCAGCAGCCCATGGGGAGCCTCGAGCAGACTCCGCCGCAGGAAGTGCAACTGCTGCTGACACAAACTTCCGACTTGAAGGAGAACCAGAAGAACCAATCGAAGAAGTCGTTTACTAAGAAGCTTCATCGTTATGGCGCCTCACCTGAAATGCTCAAGTCGGGCTCGGCCTTCCCTTCCTACTATGCCGATCCGCAGAAGCTATGGCATCGCTATTATCTGCACGAATAAGAGGAAGAGACTCAAACAGATAACAATTAACCAGATATTTATTATTCAGGCGCTTACCAGACTAGAGTATTCCTTAGATTCGAGTACTCTTCTCCTGCCTTGGACGTTGTATGTGAATAAACTTGAGCATATTGAAATACCTTTTCAGCTGTTATTGCCAGTTGGTAGTATTGATGGGGAAATGTTCCATTGATGTCGGATAGTAGATAGAGAGAGGGGATATAGGATAATAATAAGAAACAGAATGTCTTCATTGAAGCTTAAATCAATAAGTTCAATAACTGTAGCTTCGCGTTAGATTCCCGAATATCTAAGGGAGTATTCCTTTAAGGAAATATCACATACACAGATAGGCTAGACATTTATTCATTTATTCATTTGGATATACACAGATGAATTGAGTTTTACTTATGAATATTATCTACAAATAAGCCATAAGCATTTTCTTTGACTCCCTTTTATCTCCCGCTCCATCTGCCATTCTTGACAGGCTGTCATCACAATGGCACTTGGTATGCTGACAAGTCGGTGGTGCCCAGCATGGAGAAGTGCCTCAATTGTCAGTGCAATCGCAAGACGCTCGTCTGCCGGCTGAAGGTCTGCCCGGAAATGCCGATGCCGCCGCCTCGTGGCTGCGTGGTCGTCCAGCGGAAGAACAGCTGTTGCCCCTACTTGTCGTGTGCTCGCTTGGACGCCTTCTACAAGATACCGACCAAGCGTCGCATCATCGCCTACCTGGATCACTACGAGCGGGAGTCGATCGATCGTGTGGTCAACGACAACATGCTGCAGAGACGTTCCGATGACTCCGACGTCGATCTGTTGGGTAAGCATTTGCATTTTAGGCTAGCTAGGATCCAGCTTGACCAATTTTGCTCTTTCCTTAGTGTGCGTGAAGAACGGAACTGTGTACAAGTCGGGATCGGCGATGTCCTCGTCGAATCTGTGCAGCTATTGCTACTGCATTGGTAAGTGGAAGAAGACGAGGAGAATAGCTATGGAGAGCTCCAGGAGTGGCAGCTGTTCGGGTGATCAATATAACTCAAGTTTCTCTCTCTCTTCCTCTCTCATCAACAGGTGGCAACGAAAAGTGTGTCAAGCCCAAGTGCATGCTGCCCGTGGATGGGTGCAAGCCCATATTCGTGGACTCCACCTGTTGCCCGGTGCGCTACGACTGCAGCAGCAAGACCTCTGGCAAGTCCTCGCAGGAGGTGCGCTACAGGAAGAACTCGAACAAGCACTTCCAGCGCATGGCGCAGCGCTTGCAGCGGAACCGCGGCTGCACCGTGGGCGCCCAGTTCTATGCGGAGGGCCAGAAGATGCGATCGGACGCGGATAAGCCATGCGACATCTGCTTCTGCATCCGGGGCACGCGCCGCTGTGCGCCGAAGAAGTGCGCGCCAGCCCTGAAGAACTGCATTCCGGTGGTGCCGAAGGGTCAGTGCTGCCCCTCGAGCTACGACTGCGGCAGCCAGCGGGACTATCGGCGCTCGCAGAGCTCTCGCCAATTCAACCTGTACAATCTGCTCTTTGGCAAGGAGGAGCAGGAGGCGGAGGCGGCAGCAGCTGCTGCCCTGATCCCACAAAACACCATGGCCGAGCACTACCCTCTCGATCGCCATCCCACTGAGCCACCCGTGGGCGATCCGCTGCAGGTCAGCAGCGAGAAGAGCATCTTCGATACGCTGCGCGAGGGCCTCGAGTTCATCGATGGCAACAACAACCAGATGCTGGCCAATAACATGGACTTGGTGGGCAGCACGCCCACGGCCAGTCCGCTGGTGTCTGACCCGAGCAGCACCACAGAGCTGAGCTTCCTCGACCTGCTGCTCGGACCCAGCACAGAGAGCGAAGAGCCCATAACGCCAGAGGCCACAACTGAGAAGAAGAAGCCAATATCCTGGATGGACATACTGCTTGGACCCGACGAAGAGGAGCCAGCTCTCGCACTCGAGCCGATTGCTGCTGTAGAGGCCAGCTCTACTCTGGCACCGGCATTACCCACAAGCAGCACCACCGAGCGCAGCATTGAGCGCATTGCAGACGATTTCGGAGATCGATGGAGCGAGGGACAGTTTGCGGTGGGTGAACTGCCAGCGGAAGCACAGCAAGACTGGGCCAGACCCACTGAAGCACCACCGGCTAGCAGCACAGCACAACCACCCGATCTATTCAATGTGCTGCTGGACGGGCTTTCAGTCATGCTGAATGACAATGCCACCAGCACCACATCGACAACCACAACGACAACAACAACAACGAGCACCACTACGACTAGAAAGCCCTTTAGCACACACGCACCACCCATGTTCCGTCCACTGCCGAGCAGCAAACCGCACCACACGCGCATTAACTCCAAGCTGGCTAATCTCACAGTGACCCCACCGATGGTTGTGGTCACCAGCAAGTACGGTCAGCCCGTCACCTATAGGACGATGCCAAGCAAGGGCACCACCAGCACCACGACCAGCACAACAACAAGCACAACCACAACCACTCCCAAGCCACTTCCAACGAATACTACTAAAGCAAAGACCCCAACCACGCATAGACCCTCAACAACAACAACAACAAAAACAACAGCAACAAGAACAACTACCAAAGCCAAGCCAAAAACCACTCGACGCACGACAACAACCACAACCAAACCAACAACGACCACAACCACAACGACAAGAGCAACGACAACCACCACCACCACAACGCAACCACCAACAACTACAACCACACCAAAGCCTACAGCCCCAATCCCTCGCACCACCTTCCGACCCACATTTAAGCACAAGCCAACACCAGCATACTTCACTAGCACCCCTAAACCACTGATCATCAAAACGAATCCCACCATTTTGGAAGTGGATCTCTTGGACGACGCAGACAGCACTGCGCCCACGCTGCCGCCCAGCTTGCCGAACCTGAAAATCATTCCGTTTTTGCCCACGGATGCAGTGGACACGAAACCACCGATACAACCACCCGAGGGGTACAGCAGCCACACTTACTATCAGCAGCCAGCGGGTCTGCTTGCCTCTCAAATCGCCTCCGACAGAGTGGACAGCGAGTACGATGTGACCTATGTGGATCAAGCACAACACGGCGTCAGCTTCAACAGCAACAACAACCACCACAACATCGATCAGGCTGCCTACAAATACAAGTTCAATGTGGAGGTTCCCGCTGTGGTGGCCCCACCCGAGCCAGTGGTGCACGTCATTGGCAGCGCAGACTATGTTAAATATGATTTCAATGAGCAAGTGGTGCAGCCACCCGTGCACAGTGGTTTCTCACCACCCACCGAGACGGAGGGCGGCTTTATGCCCAAGGAACCGCTCGTCATCGATGGGGAAGTGCTGCAGGAACATGTCACATCGAACGTCCTGCTGGGCGATAATTATCACGTCACGCAGCACATTATCGATATAACGACAGAGAGGGAGGATAACGATACGGCTGCAATAGGTGAGTGTGATCGAGCGATTGACTGAATGGCATCTGTGTAGAAATGTTTAGAAAAGAAAAGAAATTAATATTTGATTAGATTATTGAAGATATGTAAATTTCTCAACTGTTTGATTCCGATTGACTGATTGACTGAAGATAGACACAAGTTTAAATAAGTGATTGAATGAAGATGTATCACACAGACGTAAATTTGTGGAAGCTTGGAAAGACATATCTGAACCTGTATAGCTAAAGTGCATGCAAAAGCAGTATTTGAATATCCAATTGACTGACTAATTGAATGATTAATGATACCTAATGCACAGCTCAAACTGGATAGAATAGGATCTTTACAGCCATAGTCAATAATCTGTCTTATACAAGCTATCGAGTTCCTCTTGACCTCCTTATATCCGGTCCTTTTCTCACATCATCTTTGATTGCCCATTCATTTACTTCTCCTCTTTTCGCCCAACAGAGATCACAACGCCCGATCCCTTCAAAGATGTCATACACACGGAGAGGCCTCCAAATCTCGATGTGCTGATTGGAGACAAGCTGCAGAAGAAACCGGCACAGCAGCTGCAACAGCAACACATCGAGAGTGTCACATACAGCATCAGCCAGTCTTCCGGCAATAAAACTGCACCAGCAGCAGCAGCAGCAACAACAACTACAACAACAGCTGCAACTACAACCACAAAACAAACACCGCTGATAGACAAAAATGAGATAACCAAACTGGATGAGCTGCTGGAAGAGCTGTTGGGCATGAACCTGCCCACCATACCCCTCACCAGCAGCAGCAGCAGCAATAGTACAGTGCCGCCTTTTAAAACATTGCCAACAGCAGCCGCACCAGCAGCAGCAACAGATGCAACAACACCAACTACTGTGCGCCCACCTGCCACACCCACCGCAGCACGTGGCCACAAGAAGGGCAACAAAACAAAGCCGAAAACATCAAGCAATAGACGCAATCAGACAGCAACAGCAACGGCAAAGCCATCCCGCAACAAAGGTCAAGCGACCACGCGTCGAACACCCGCCAGCAACAGCAACAGCAACAGCAACAACAACAGTAACGTCAACATAAACAGGAACAACTCAATGGGCAGCGCTGCGCAAACAAGTGCAAAAACCAAAAACACACCGGCAACAGTGACAACAACAACAACAGCAGCAACAAGCACTACAACAGCAGCAACAACAACAACAGCAACGGCACCAACAGCAATTGTTTCCACCACAGTGCATCCATTTTTAATGTCACCATTCGACAAATTGCCCTTCATGGACACCAGCTACGAGGTGCGACATCAGCAACAGCAATTGCAGCAACAACAGCAACAGCAGCTGCAGCAACAGCAACAGTTGCAGCAATTTCATCATTATCAGCATGCGCCAAGCAGCAGCAGCAGCAGCAGCACAACAACAACGACAGCAGCAACACCAGCAGCAGCAGGAGGAGGAACAGCAACTTTTTCTGGGGGCGAGGGGCTAATGGATCCTGCGGGCATACTAAAATTAGCCGGCTGCAACATTTACGGCCGTATGTATCGAGTGGGTCGCATTATTGTGGAGCTATCCAATCAATGCCTCGAATGCAAATGCACCGAGGTGGGCGTCAAGTGCGGCCCATTAGACTGTTAATTTAAGCCACGCCTCCAGCCCTTCCTCCGATAAATATCTCTGTGTGCGAGTGTGCGTGAGTCTGTGTATGTTTGTGTGTGTGTGGAGTGTGGCCGTTTACCATTTAAGACAACTCTTTCATTGCCCTTTCCCGTTTTAGCTCTGAACTAATGCATTTAGTATATAGACTAAGTTTAATCTATTTTTACATTATAATTACATATACATATATAATATTCTATACAGTTGTGTTCATGAAAGTGCTAGTAGTGCTGGCCTATGGAAAATTTTAACCAAATAATCTGCATTGAAAAATCTTAAAATTCTGTTTAAAATTGTATTGCGTTTATCATTACTACTATTTCCATGAGCACAGCTCTATAAGGTACCCTTAACACTAAGTTGTATTATAGACGTAGTTCTCCACGCCTTAGGTCCAACCAAATCTGGAAAAAACTTCAATGCATTTATAAATCGAAACTGAAATTTAATTTTTGTAATATGACAAAATAAGCAGACAACATTTAATTATATAAAAAAAAAAAAAACATTTAAAATTTTTAATTTTAATAATAAAAAATATATGTCTTAAATACATTTAAATACTTTTAAAGAGCATATATAAATAACCTTTATTTATTTATACATTTAAAATTTAAACAATAAATAAAGAGTTATAATTAATATAATATAAAGAATTTTTAGCTTCGAGGGCAGACTTAGAATTCGTCGCTCTTATAATGTATCTTAAAATAAGTTTTTAAAATATTCAATATAAGTCAATTTAGATTTTTCTGTAACGGATTTTTCTCGTTCTGTCTCTTACTCTCTCTCTCTCTCTCTCTCTATCGTTCTGTCTCTCTCTCTCTTTCCCTCTCTCTCTCTCGCATTCTGTCTCTCCCTCTCACTCTCTCTCGTTCTGTCTCTTTCTCTCCCTCTTCGCCTCTCTATTTATTTTCTCTATAATACTACGTTTTCAAATTCTTCAGTGCTTTGTGTTTTTAAACATTTAACAAATAGATTCGGATGATATGATTGGCATATGAAATGCCTTTTCTAAGCTAAACAAAAACTTATGGACTACCCTCGATCATAGAAGTCTATTGGAATTTAGAGTACATTTTCTGATAACTGATTCGATTAACCTGAAAACTGTTCAATTGATTCATTGAGATTCCACCAATTCCACCAAATCAAACTCGACGTTGATGAGTTATGAGCCAATGCTATGAATAAATGGAAGCTAATTGCACTGCTAAATGAAAATGATCAATGCTCCAGTTTAGATGGGCTAACATAAATATTTAATTACCCTTGCCTTATGCATTATTCCAGCTAATTAGCTGAGTCATTAAATCGGGCCTATAAAATCGATTAGATGGTGTAAAAATAACGCTTTAACCACTGAAGCACAGAAATTTATGGATGCCCTTAAGAGTCAATGGCTTGACCATAAAAGCCAAGCGCAAAATACGGCCAGAAATTTATTCGTTTGATTTGATTTGGCTTTTTCCGGCGGATTCGAGTTGAATTGCAAATGTTGAGACTAATTTAAGGTAGATCTAATGGAATCTAGAATCGATCGATCAGAGTAACTTTATATTTTTCGCGACTCCGACGAGATTTGCCTGTAAATGAGAAAGCCGCATAACAATCCGGCCATGCCCCCACCCAAATGCGCCTCCAGGCTGATGCGCGGATTGAGATTGTCATTGAAGCAGAAGTGATAAACCGTGTATGCCACATTGCCGACGAGCAAGATCAGGAGGACGGCGATGCGCCAAAAGCGATGCGACAATTTCGAGAAATTCTATGGGAAAATAATAGACAAAAACCAAATCAAAAAGTTAATGAACAATGTGAATAACAAGGTAACGAAGCCGGGCGTTGCCGACTGGACGCTGTTCACAGGGCTGAAAAAAGCTGAAAGTGGTGGAAGGCCGTTATGCATTAGTTTAATATGTATGGAGTGGCTGCTTGGTGACGGTCCAACTGCATTTAGAGCGTTCCTATCAAACCAATATACCCGATGACCGCATGTGAACAGTGTATGACAAAGTAGAAAACAAATTAAATTGCGGTTGCACTCGATTTAGCCACAGTTGACTGACCAGAACTAGGTGGGGCACATGACTGCACAGCATGGCAGAGACGCCCGCCGATGCGCCGAGCAGCGAGAGCCCCGGCTGCAGCAAGCCGTGGGCCAGGCCGCCACAAAGGCCGCCCGTTACATAGACGACGCCCAAGCGCCAGTGACCTTGCTCCACTTCCAGGTAGACGCCAATGAAGCACTGAGCCCAAAAGAACAGATCAAAACCAAAAAGCATTAACCGAGTAGCTCAGTGTGTGGTGGCCGGGACCCACCTGTAGACAGATGTTGATCCACAGGTGCCATAGATCAGCGTGGAGCAGCATGTAGGTAAAGAAGCGCCAATACTCGTGCATCAACTCCGGCTTGCAGATGAGGCGCCGCTGCATGCACCCGTTGACAATCGGATACATCGAGATCTGTGAATGACAGAAGACAAGGCGACAAATCAGACAAATGAGCGACCTTAAACGATAGACATTAAGGCATTACACTGGGCTACGAGACTGAGGGCCGACAGTGCGAAATGTTCCAGATAAAGTTGTTGGCTATGACTCTTCATTAAGATGAAGGTGTTGATATCATATATATATAATTTAAATATTGTACGTATTATTTTAACTATGTATATGTAAGTCAATAATTTATTGGCACATCTCTGGAGTAGAAGATCCTACAGTGTTCTCTATACGAATATATACTTAAAATAACAGGTTTGCTACTTTCCCATTTACCATACTCCACTTGATGTGGTGTGTGTGCTAAGGAGCATATTCTCCACATTTCCACATTCCCCAGATATTTGTATATGGGTTGAGCTTCTTTTTTTCTTTTTTCATAAACCGATCATATCTAGTTATTTACTTTTAAGCAATAACATTCTGTGTCTTTTGCTCTCTAATTGGTATTCATTATGGGTTGCATTGGTTATGGCACACATACCTAGAGCCAAGTTGCTGGAGATGGCTTATTTTAGATAACGAAACGAAATGGAACTTTCAAATTGATTTTTGATGTATGAATACTCAATATACTTAGATTCGCCATTAATAAAAATTTTTTCTATATTTATTCTTTTATTTTAAGCGGTTTTCTTGTATTGTTAAACTTTTACATACATATGCGATAATTGCAAAGCAAGCCTAAACATTTTTCCATTCCAGGATTTATTTATAAACAAAAACCTCAAAAGAAAAGATTTAAAATCAATCATTTTATAAATAACTGGTACAATTAGCGCAGCTAATCTATTCTCATTAAGTTTTCGGACCCCCCACCTGCAGTCTTTGTGTATAAGTATATTTTTTTATACATTTTTAAGTAATATGTTGTTTACACTCTCCACTCTGTATACACTGTTTTCAAATGATTTCTGGACCACTCCGTTATCCAGAGAGAAAGAGAGAGAGCTGGCGCGTATAACCTGCACACGCTCTGCCCAGTGCACTTTGTAGCACAGTGTAATCGATCAGAATGTTACAGCAGCACAAAATGATGTCAGGCCATCTGTCACTTTCGCTCAGCATCAGCCAAGTGTTGGACGTCCAAGTGTGAGTGCCAAGAAGCTTTAACACATTGTGCTGCCTGACAAGGCAACAGCAACAGCAACAACAACAGCAACGACAACAACAACAGCAGCAACAACAACAACAACAACAACAAAAACTATGCCAAATCGGTGCAACATGCATCACACCAAATATGACAAATGCCAGTTGCAACAATTTGGAATCAACATCGAAGCTAACTGAAAAAGGCAAGAGCCAAGTCGATTGTGATTGTGATTGGGATTGTGGAATTGGAATTGAAGTCTACCAAATTATGTAATATGGAATGGAATATCTTAAGCCAAGCCCAAAAGTAATTAAGAGAGCTCAAAGCGTGCGTCAATGAATGAGTTATAAAACAAGAGACGACAAACTGGGTGGACTTTTCTAATGGGGAAACACTTGTGCGACTTCTTCAGCGACTGCGTGAGTGGTTCAGTGGGTGAGTGGATCGGTTGGGTGAGTGCAACCACTTGCACTGCAAACCGCATTCGCACTTGCTGCAAGCCAGACAGAGATCAGCTGACATTCGTGAAATCTATTGGAGCATAGGCTGATTGGAAAGAGAATGAAAGCAAATAATTTAGCTGAGCTAAGATATACATATATGCCATATGGCACGATACAAAAGTTGTCTGATGATCTAACTGATCTGTATATGGACAGCAGAGCAATGGGAATCCAAGTCCCTAGCAATCGTCGTAGTTGCAGTTCAAGGGTAACAAATTATAAAATTAATAATTCTTTGAAAGAACTCCGGGTTTGCTTCGAAAAACCTTGCTGGTGCTCAGACTTTTCAATAATTTTTTTAAGGAGAAAAAGTGACATATAAGCAACTCAACTGCAATCAAAGTATGATTCATTCTAAATATAGTTGTATGTATATTTATCAAAACTTGATAACAAATAGTACCTAAGTATAGTTTCTATCTCTTTACATATTTATTATTTCAAAGTAACCTAATTAATTAATATATATTACTACTTATACTCCCTAAAATCAGAGATTACCTAGACTAGCCTCGTATGTTTCTAGGTAGAGTGGGATATTGCCTGTAGTTATATATAAAGTAACTAATATTATAAATAGGAACGAAAATATAATACAAAAATAAAAATATATTACTTATTTTTATTTTCCCACTTATTCATAAAACAAAATTTACTTTGAATTTGATATTACACCCAAGATATTAACACATAATTCGTATATTCATAAATTTCCACTTATGACCACATTTCAGTAGTTTTCTTAGCAAATTCTGCGCATAACCAAAAGGAACGTGATTCACCGAGCAACATGTGCAAATCGTACGAGGAAGTTCTCTGTTAAATACTAATCTTGCATGAGTTGAGTGACCTCAAATACTAACGACCATAAATAAAATACGAAATTAACAACCGATATCTGATAAAGCGTAACAAAAGCTGATAACACGAAATGCGCACCAAGTGATTCGTTGCATTTCTTTTCTTTGTTTGATTTTGTTTTTTGGTGAACTCAAAAATACAACAATTCGAATGAAAGTGGATACAAAAGATATAACAAACTGTATTTTAGATGGAAAGCATTACGCATACGTCACGTCAGCCAGCTGACTGGCTGTCCATCTACCTGCACAAAGGACATCCACAGTAGGAACCAGGGCACGCGCAAAAGACGTCGATGCGTCACCGTCAAGTCATGACAATCAATGACAATCTTTTGCAGCGGCGCTCGCGACTCTGACAGCGGCAGCAGCTTGCCATATTTTGTGTCCTGTTTGTCAATGGGCTGCATTGATATTGCGCACACACACACACACGTAAACACTTTTCTAATCGATAGCACAACTGCTTAACAATATGTATTGTAACAAACGGAACGAAACGTCTGCTGCGCTGGGTGCTTAATTCGCGACTACATAGAGCAGCACAACACAATTCAGTACAACCCACACACACACACTCACACACATATCGCTTTCGTTGTTCTTCTTCTTTCCATCGATCGTTTGATCACTTATTGGAATCTATGACTAAGACGCATATCCAAAACTCATTGCATACTTTTAAGCGTTAACAACATTTCTAATCGGTTTGTGTCTTGGCTAAAGGAATGAAAGCTGTATTTTAAAAAGATATTGTAACACTATTATTAAATATTATTAAATATATTAAATTGACTTCTTCTGGCTAGACCGACTGAAATTGTCCTGGAATTTGAAATATTCTTACACACAAATATATCAGCAGTATTCATCATGAGTCAACTGAGGTAAGTCCACACCTAATTCAGTCTGTTTGGCACTCTTGCAGCTAATATGTTTTCTATAATATATTTTTTATTATTTCAGATTGTAACGCTACTTCATCATCATCCCCGTTCGCAGATATTAAGCGGATATAACGCTACTTCATCATCATTCTAGTTCGCAGATGGTTAGCAGATATATGAAAAAATTAATCAAAAATGTATCAAGTATTATTAAAAAGTACTTGTGAATAATATCGAAATATTTCATCATAAACTATGTAAATTTAAAAATAAAAAATCAAAAAACATTATTTTTGCAATAAATAATAACACGGTGTTTTAATTAACGGGGTTGTTTAATGGAATTTAATGTTCAAAAAACAACGGTCAAAGAAATTTACTATACATAATAGTATTGCTGCATAACTTAGGGAGCTGCTGATGTGGCCGTTGGGACGTAAATTTGAACGGCGTCTTACAGAAGTACCAGGCGAACAGAAATGGCTAGCAGAGTGAAAAATGTTAGTTAACAGCCTCCTAACAGAATTATGTTACTTAACATAATTCTGTTAGTTAACAGTACAGTTACTGTTAAGTAACATAATCATGTTAGTTAACATAGATATCACTGTTAATTAACATGATTCTGTTAAGTTGCTGTTAGTTAACATTGTCACTGCTGTTAACTAACAGCATTCTGTTAGTTAACATAGGCGGTACTGTTAATTAACATGATTCTGTTAAGTCGCTGTACATTAACAGTTTGTAAAAGTGCGCTGTTAACTGAGATTTTCCACCCTACTAGTCGTTTCTGTTCGCCTGGTATTTCACCAAGATTACAGTGCAAATTTTGATCCCATGTTCATGCAGATCAGCAATGTAAACAGCTGCTAAGCCAACAGTGCCGATGCTGGCCTTTCCTAATACGTCATAGCAAGGGGTATACTAACAATGTTAATGTTTTTATCAATTTCATTGCTGAAAAATAAACGTTATTCAATGGTTATAAACAAAATCAATTTTTTTTTTCTAAACCGTTCATATTTAGACATTTCTACTTTAGTAAATCCCAGAAGCAGCTGTAGATGTAGAGTAAAACATTTCATAGACAAGCATAACTCAAATTGTTCTGTAGCTCGCAGACATATTTCCGACTTGTGGCATCTGACAGTCAGCCATTGGCAATTCCATTCAACATCAACAACAGCAGCAGCAACAATTGCATCAGCAGCAGCAGCAGCAACAGCATCCTTGGCATTTGACATTTTGGCCAAATCAAACAGAAGTCCAATTGCCAGCAGCAAAGTTGCAGTTCCAGCAACAGCAACCACAACAACAACAACTCGCAATGTTTACACGAGCAATTTGTTGTTATTGCTGGCGTGGTGAAAAGCTTCGTGGGGCAGAGCAAACGCAGCTCTTCTGCTCTTTTGCTCAGCTGGGCAGTCGCTTGGGCTCGCTCTCTCGGGCTGGGCACGTGGCACGTGGAGCAGCGCCTGTCAGCAGCCAAGCGCTTTATGAATGGCAACAATGAAATATTTATATAAGCCAAGCGAAACCAAATCAAACTCATTAAGGACCTCCCCCTCAGCCGGAGCTGATGCTGAAACTGAAGCTGAAGGCTACGTGCCGAAACAATCCCTGCTGGACTTTGAAAATGTTTGGTTTTTCTCTTTTTCGAATGGAAATTCACAGACCGATACTGAAGTGGATAAATGAGTGAACTTTAACTGTAAAGCTTACTGAGTCCATGCATACCTCAATTAGCATCGGTATGTGGCTCATAGCACTTCCCTGATAATGGACTAGATAAAGCGAATAGATTTGTAAGCGCTTAAAGCATTTCAATTATTTTATTTGGTTTTGCGAAATGTTCACCACGCTGTACATCCGTCTTTCCTTCCGTCTATCTATTCCGTCTATCCGTCTATTTGTCAGTGTGTCTGTCTGTCTGTCCATCCTTCCGCTCATCCATCTGTTCGACCTTTCCTTCTTCGTTCGGCTGCCCCTTTCACTTTTCACCACTACCCCCTCTCCGCTTAGCTGCATTTAGATTATCTCTCCTCTTCCAATCTTTTGAAGCTAGACTTTATAGTCAAGTTGTCCATCTAAAGATTGACCAACAAATCTTAGAATTTAAATAGGTATTCAGTAGTAGTCGGTGCTGCCCGTCTACAGCACTCCTTCTCGTTTCCTTTAGGTAATTGGTAAATTTTCACATTTTCTATTCGCGCTTAGCTCGTTGTTAGAGTTCTTATCGGGGTTGCCGTAATGCGCCTAATGGACGCCGATAAGCTGCTGGCTGAGTCTATGGAAAACCGAAGCCAAAATCAACATGCATTTTCCTTACATTTTCTTGGCAGGCTAAAGTTTCCCAGCTCCCTCTCATTATGGTTGCGGGCTCGAAAAAAACGTTTAGGCAAATCTTGGCAGAAAATCTCTCGCAAACAAAGGGCGTATGAGCTGTGGGCGTGGCACTTGAATGTTTGCCACTTGATTGAGTGACTAAAGCGTCGCCACTTGGGACACCCGAGACCTAGCTGAGGGCTGTTTGCCGTAGGCGTGGCACTTGAGTTTATGAGCGCTATTTTATTGATAACGCCAAGGGGAGTAAATAAAAAGAGCTGGGAAGAGGGAGTAGGAGAGAAAGGGCGAAGGACGAGGACAGAGGGCCAGTGGGAGTGGAAGCATCATAAAACGCAGCGTCTGATTAGCCAAAGAATTGGGCGTGTTTATGGCCAGAGCAGAGCAACTGCAATAACAATGAGTGAGATGAGGCAGCATCGGGGATAATGTCGAAATAACAAAATAGACCGAAGGATGATATCAAAACTTAGAGATGCAAATGATAGAGTTAGAAAGTTAGAGAGCTAGAGACGAGTTAGTAGATTGAGGAAGAGAAGGAAGGAGGCAGCAGGGAAGAGACGGAGGAGGGAAAGGAGGTGGATAAGCAGGAAGAGGAGAGGCAGGGGGAGATATGTGACTGCGATGTATAGGGCATGCATATATAAACATATACATACGCATATATACATACACAGCCTTATTACATACTAACATATTCTATATGTATGTCTAGCATAGCTAAATTGTTTATGTGTGTGTGTTGTGTTTGTATCTGTGCGGTCTTGGCGTGTGCAAAGGCATAAGCCTTAAAGCAGCTGAACAAGATGTGTGTAAGCAGCTCCCCCACTCTCGCTATGTACACATACATATGTATCTATATATATACACGTGCGTGTGTGTGCGCCCCGTCTATATGCTGTGCGTGCCTCAGTTGCAAACTCAATTATTAACTACGCGTAAGCAAAAGGCAACACCTTCAGTGTGCGGCGTCTTCGCAAGTAACTTCATTCTCAACTATGGCACAGCCACGCCTACTCGCACACCAGTTCTCCAATTGCCTCCATCCCCTCTCTGTTCCCTGCTCTGCTATCCTCCACTCTGTGCAGCTGTCAGCTCTTGGGAAATTTGCATTTTATCATCCATGTGTGGGGTCCTAATGCTTCAAGGGGGCTTTGCTTTTAATTGGTTTTCTTTAGCTCCGCTCTAGAATTAACGCCATTTGTTGTAGCCGTAGTGGTTGTAGTTGCTATAGTTGTAAACTTGAGCTGAGGCTGCGGCCGGGCCGTAACTTATAATTGTTTAATTAGCAAGTAAAATACGGTGCAAATATGTGGAAATTATTGGATCAACCGCACAGAATGCAGCACAAATTGCTCTGATGCCTCATGCGAAACTCAAGCGAAACAATGCAAATTCCCTGTGCGAGCATTTCCTGTAACGATATGAAAATTCAATTAAGATGCAGAGGACTAGAAATGTTAGACAACATTACGAATGAGACGAGCATTAGATTCGATTAACTCTAATTACTGTCTAAT